TGATCTTCAGAGGTCCCTTCCAACCCCTGACGTTCTGTGATTCTGTGATTCTGTGGATCACTCTAAACTTGCTCTTTGGCCCTTCATTCATTCAGAGAGCATTTCCCGCTGCCAGCTCTGTTTCAGCTGTGCAAGTGCACTCAGGTCACCCAAAACCCTACTTGAAATTATTTTCAATTATTTCCTTTTTTAACCAAGTCTCGTAATTGCAGCACAAAAAGCTTCATTACCAGTGGCAACAGGGAGAACAGTGTAAAGCCACAGGGAGACGGTTTCCCACGTGCCGGGGGAGTAGCCCACAACATAATATCTCTGCTAAAAGGTGAAACTTCTCAGAAAAATAAAGCGCTTTGAAGGAATTCCCACATGTCAGAGAAGCTGTGACCATTGGCAGGACTTTTAATCTCAATGAAAAGCTGATGAAAAGAAGTTTAATACTTATCTGTTTCATCGCATGCCTAAATTTAGCAAGTGTCAGCTTGGCCAATGAGGCAATTCGTCAAACTACCGAATTTCCCTCTGTTTTTTAAGATCGTTATCTGAACTATTAATGAACCTGAGAAAATATTCCTTCTCCCGTTCCCCTTTTCTACACACCTCTTGGTCGTAGGTCTCATTGATGACGGGCTCCGTCGTGATCCATTTCATTCTGGTGGCGAAACGAAGAGAAGACAGCTGCAAGAACACGGGGTTCAAGTAACTGGAAGAGATACTGGCAGGGACACAATTCTGTTTGCTACTTCATCATATCAGAACCCAGAGCACAGAACCACGAAACGCGGGGAGCACGACAGGATTTCTCATTCCAGGAGCGTCCCTTCTAGCGCTCACCGGCTTCGATGGGATTAAATAATGTCTTTTTCGTTCTGTGTGTGAACAGCTCTTTGGGTACCCAAGCCACGATCTCAAAAACGCCTGCTCACATTTCGAACCACAATAACACATCCTAAAAACTCCAAATTACGCCACGATGGCCTTCGATCGTAATTCCTGCCATCGCGGTATCTTGCGAGGAAGGCCCCGCAGCCTGAAAGTCCTCCTCTTGATGCAAAGTCTTGCAGCTGTCTCCTCGGGAATATTGCAAGTTTCTAAACGCTTTCAGAACACAAGGAGGAGAAGATAAAAAGAGCAGGTGTCTGCGCCTACTTTTTTTTTTTGCTACGTAAAATTTTCTTGCCAAAAAAGCAAAGCGATTCCCTTCTCTGGGTTACAGACGTGCTGAAGTGGATCCAGTTCGGGCAGCGAGACTTTCACCAATTTCTTTACTTCACGGGTTTCCAAACCTTACCGCGATGGGGGTGATCGCCGATCCCTGAACCGGCACAAAGGCAGCTCAGCTCTGACGTGAACTGGTGCGACTGCATCGACTTCCTTAGGCAATGCGCCACCGAAACGCATTCGCAGAGTTGAACCAGCAACAATAATTAACATTATCCGGCGTGCTTAGATTTTAGCCGCCTGTGCCTGCTCTATTTCAGGCTCTCATCTTCCCTGGGGCCAGCTACCACCGGTCTGTGTGCATCTGTTTTCTGAGCCTTCGAGATAAAATGAGCTATCTAGCGTTTCCGATGAATTGGGCAGGGTGTTCTCCTGGGACTCCCAAGATATTTCTTTCAACCTGATTGCACCAAGACTTGAATTCTGCAGAAATCAGTTCAACTTACAGTCTCTTCCACGTGCACAGCTTCCCCGCAGACGTTTGCCACTAGGACAGTATTGCAGTTTCCCCCTGGGGAAATAAAATACGAGGGGAAAAAAAAAAGCAAAGGATATAATTTGGGGGGTTTTTTTGTGTTGTTTCCTTTTCTGGAATGTATTATGTGCTGCCTAAAATAAGAGAAAAAGCAACAACAACGAACAGAGTTAGCTTGGAACTGTCCCTCTAAAGTTCCCACGGGAACAGAAAAAACACAGACTTCGGAAAAAAAGGTAAAACGCGTCTCTCTGCGATGCCGACGCGGTTAAGAAGATGGGAATGCAAACTCGGAAAGCTCGAAAGCAGGAAAAGCAGAGCAGTTTGCTAAAGGAGTATGGGAAAAGGCTTGTAAACATGCTGCGTTGTTTTGGGGTTTTTTGGTGGTCATTTGGGGGAGTTTTTTTAAAGTACTCTAAGGTTTTGTGCATTTCTACCAGCTTGAGCAGCGTGGGCTTTGTACCGGCTCCTGCCCCTGCTGTTTGCCTTGAAAAACCAGATATCCCTCAAACAATGACAACTACGTTACCTGACAGCCCTAGAACTCTATATGCTCACAGAAACAGAGGGGTTTAGGAGCTATTTGGGGCTGACGTAACGTACAGCTCTTACCTAGCGAGTCCTTGAGAACGTGGGTGAGCTTGCTCTGCCGGAAGGGGACGTGTTCCCTCTTACTATCAGCCAGGGCAATGATGATTTGCTCGAGGAACGACAGAGACTTGTTGATGTACACGGTTTCTTTCAGAATCTGTCCCTCAGACTGGAATGAAAACCAAAAGGCAAAGCTTCCACAACACGTGTTCCTGGCCCGAACCGTAGAGAAGAGCGTATTCCTTCCCGAGCGTACAACCCTGCCTGATCACTGTGCTAACTTGCTGATTCAGACCCAATAAATTTGTGATCTAGAACTTTCTGCAGTTTGAAACCAAGTTTTCAGAGACCTCAGGTCTCCCAGGACCACTGGCTTTCCTTCCCAAAGGGTAAATTATATATTCAACACTTCTATTCTGAACAACTCAGAACATCACACAGGACGTGAAGAACTTTCAGTTGCTGAGCCTGAACGCTCGAAGAAAGTTTCAACAGTTTGCTTGCTGTGACCAGAAGTGGAGGATTTGCACTCAGGAAATGAAGAGGAAATTCAGAGGTTCTTTGAGAAATTATAGACTCAAATTAACTACCCGAGCTTGGGTCAGGTTGGAAGGCACATGCAGGGTGGGAGTCCCATACACATGGACTTAGAAATGATACCCAGCCACTGCCGTGACTTCCAATTTGTCACAGTCTTTCCTGTTTATCACAGGCTGAATTCTGCTGTGGAGAAAAGCCGTAATTTCACCTCCACCACGTTGATCACAGGACTCCGGACTGAAATATTCCTTCCATTACTTACCCCAGTCTTGCTGAGTCTCTCTGAGCCTGCCAGATCTATTAAGTTGATTTTAGAGTGAATGCATTTGCCGTCTGAGAAAGCTCTGAAGCGAGACTGAGGGAGAAAAGAATATAAACTGTACGTAACAGCAGATAAAACTGAAACCCAGTAAAAACCAGGTATGTAAAATCCTCAGCCAGCTGAGTCCCTAGAAAAACTGCTGGAGCTCTTACCTCAATATAAATAGTAAAGATGCAATGGGATCGGGATGAGTTTTTATTCAGCGCGTGCTCTGCTATCGCTCTGTTCGTCCCGCCCTGCAAATGAACTCAAAACTGAGCATTTATAAGCTTCTATGTTGGAAGAATAAAGGGAAATTAGAAATCTAACACAGTTAAATAAGCAAGGGCTCAAACCCCTGCAGACTGTAACACCAAGGAGTTGGTTAGAGCAGCCAGAGCAGGAGCTCACCGAATTTGCCTCGCTTCCTCACTCAAAGCATTTCATGGCACGGTTGGTAAAGGTTGTCATTTACCTTTCGCTGCAGATCACATCATCTGCGTTTCCACTTTCAAAGCTCAGCTCCCAGAAACTGGGGCTTTTTGAGGAACAGCTAAGCAAGCCTCGTGCAGAAGTAACGCCTCCCCTGGCTCTTTCGGTTTCTTGCTGACTCGAAAAACCAAAGAGCTCCCCAAGGCTTCAAATGTCATTGAAAATTCACACGTCCACGCTAGGCAGGAATTTGTAATGCCCACTCGTGGGAAAGGGGCTTAGAAAATAAATCTTATGAAGAGCGACTGAAGGAGCTGGGGCTGCTTAGTTTGAGGAAGAGGAGGCTGAGGGGAGACCTCCTCGCTTTCTACAACTGCCTGAAAGGACGTTGCAGAGAGGTTGGGGCTGGTCTCTTCTCACAGGGAATTGGTAGCAGAACTAGAGGGAGTGGCCACAAGCTGCAACAGGGTAGATTTAGGCTGGATGTTAGGAAAAAAATTTTCCCAGCAAGAAAAAATTTTCCCAGCAAGAAAAAAATTTTCCCAGCACTGGCACAGGCTGCCCAGGGAGGTGGTTGAGTCACCTTCCCTGGAGGTGTTTAAAGGCCATTGAGATGTGGTGTTGGGGGAGATGGTTTGGGGCTGAGCTCTGCAGAGTAGGGTTACAGGTTGGATTTGATGATCTCAAGGGTCTTTTCCAACTTGGATGTTTCTGTGATTCTAAGAAAAGAAAGCAACACTGAAAATGGTGTTGCAACCCCTTGTTCGGGGTGCCAGTGTGTCGCGGGGCTGCAGTGCCAGGCTGGTGGGGCAGAAGAGGAAACAAAAGGCTCTACAGCACACAACTGCACTTGTCAACAAGGTCTCAGGGTCTCAGGCCTGCCTGGGTCTCAAAGGACAACAACTCATGAGAGCTGGCTCCATGTCAGGGACCCTAAATGCAAGAGCAAGAACGGAGGAGACAATCTGGAGATAAATACTGTCAAGGCCACGCCACAGCTGACGAGTCGCAGCTTCCTCGAAGCCTGGAGCTTTCTCTGTGAATCTAGAACCAGAGGCAGAGCTCACCTAACGGCCCAAGTGGATCCCCAGGGATCGCTTGAGCTCCTTCTGCCAACAGATCTCAAGTTCAGCTGCTTTGTCATCGTCCTTCTACTCTTTGAAAAGCAAACAGGCATTGCTGCAAATCAGAGAGGCTGGCTTGGGGCACTACAGTCCCGTTATTCAAAAGGCAAGTGAAAGATTTTTATGGGCATCAGATGACTCCTGGTAAAAATACTCTTCCTCCGTCCAGAACCAATTATTTATCCAAGCTTTCCTTATGAACTAAAGCACCCACGAATGAAAGACGGAGATTATGCGAAAATAATGGGAGGTCGGCAAGGAGGATCGTAAACACGCTCAAGCGATGTGCAGCTGGGGCGTCGAAAAAGCACGTCTATCGCTGTAATTGCTGCCTGGCCTCGTGTGTGTGGGCAGCACAACACCTGTGCTCAGGTAGCAGGGGTCTGCGATAGACTCGGAGGCACCTTATCGAACGTGCTTGAGATTCCTGTCCTGCTGCGGGAAAGATCAAAGCACAGAGTGGAAAATTACACCCACAGAAATCCGTGGTACGGAGGCGAAAGCAGCAGGTTCAAAAGCTGGGCCGTGACAATCCCAAACTACCGGTCAAAGGTGTCACTGGCAAGACTTTTTTCTCAGAGCACCAACATAGCCAGGACAGGCAGGTGTGGCTTTCAGGAAGAAATCCCAATGTAGGTCAGCTGGCGGTTCTAAAAGGATCCCAAATATTCTACACTTGGTACGAAGTCACTCACTGACGCCGTTTTTGGGCTAAGCAGGGGAATGAAAGCAAGTCTTACGGGCTCTCTGGGGTCTCGATCAGCTGAAGAGTCCGGTGAGACAAGCTTTTGGAAATGAAGGCAGATTCTTTAGCTGCTGTCACTATCTCTGAGCAACGCTTCTACGTTCTGTCGTCTCGCCTCAGTGTATTTCCTCCATCACTTGACCTGCTCTGGCACACACTAAAAACAGGGTTTCTCCACCAGAGACCTTCCAGAACCTCTGTGCCAGGGACATTTTCCTTGGAAGAACACGGGCTACAATATTCCTGCTTCCTCTACCCACAATTAAGAGAACTAAGAGGGCTGAGCCTCCCCTTCACGAACCTCCCGTTCTCCTGCCTCCTCGTTCAGCTAAGCCAGTGAACATAACAATCAGGCAAAGTATAATATTTGTTGTTTCTTGCCTCAAAAAGGAGATTTAGAGCATCTTCCTCGTGCCTAACTCGATGTATGGACAAGCCCTTCACATAAACGCCCTGGGGGCAATCCACCACAGCCAGGTCACCCGTCCCAGTCAGAAGGTCGACCAAGGTCTCGTTGTAGATTTCCAGGTAGGATATTCGGATCGTGACGACTGGATCGAAAGAATTTGCCGCTGCTTTGAAGACCTAGAAAAGAGACAAAGTGTTTGTCAGCGGCGCTGCTCATTCACAAACAGAATTATTTGTTATTTATGGTTTTCCAGACAAGTTATTTCTAACTTGCCTAACAGTTCTAAGTGCATCCGCGTGCACGTAGCTAGTTCTGAGCCACGGCTGCCTGAGGGCTGACGGGGCTAAGCCAGAAAAACTTTTCATCCAATTTCTCCAAGTGACAGTTTAGAAACCAACACTTTGGAAGGCCTGCTTGCATTTAGGAAGCAGCAAACACCTACTGTGAGCGAGGCAGAACAAAAATGGAACAACCTCAGCAAACAGCAAGAGAGCAGAACTACAGAATTCCTCCTCTCTTGGGTTCAGGTTGTGTGTCAGCCCCACAGCGTGCGGGTGAACTCTCCTTGTAGGAACGGGGAATGTTCTGCCTGAAGATAAGCAGAGCCGCTCCCTGGAAGCCACGGTAAACACGCGCTTCTGCACAAGGACGCGTCCATGCAGCACCAGCGCGGACAAATCAGCACGGTTCAGGCCAACACCATCCCAACACTCACAGAATCA